AGCACATATGTCAAAGTGCCGGCCCGCGGCACTTTGACATATGTTTTCAGTGGCCCCTGGGCTGATATTGATTTATTATTAGAACCGGCCCGCGGACTGCAGCAAGCCGAGAGGCCGCAGATCTTTTACACGCACCAAAACTACATTTCCCACAATTCAACGGTGACGCGCCAAGCAGTCGGCCGCTTTATTTAAGTATTTATTCGTCTCGCAGTCGTTCCCATAACAGTGACATTATCTTTCAGATACCCAGCAAAAATGGCAAAACTGAAGGTGGACACTGAGAACCGCGGGTTTCAAACAAGGTGAGAGTCGAAGAACATGTTCATGGACGTAGCTGGAAAACCTGTGTGTCTTCTGTGTGGAGAAAGTGTGGCGCGATTCATTCATTCATTTTCCGAACCGCTTGATCCTCACTAGGGTCGCGGGGGGTGCTGGAGCCTATCCCAGCCGTCTCCGGGCAGTAGGCGGGGGACACCCTGAATTGGTTGCCAGCCAATCGCAGGGCTGTGGCGCGATTGAAATTGTGTAATCTGAGACGACATCATGAAACGAAACACGCAAACAAGAACATGGACATGGTGGGGGAAGGGGGATTTCATTAAAAACGGTATACTTAAAGTTTGTGACGAAGTTTACCCCGCAAAAAGCAACTCTTTTTAAACGTGAGCATTAGCAGAAACACAATTGCAGTGTTTCTGCAAAGATACGGCAGTGCGTGCTGCGCAGTTTGACGGTTTCCTCCCCGACACAGTGGTCCCGCTGCGCATCCAGGCTGCTCAAACGTTGTCGAAAGTTTGGCAGCACATACGTGTGTGAACAACTATTTTCTTTGATGAAGCTGAACAAAACATCACACAGAAGTCGATTTACTGCTGAACACCCTCACTCAATTTTGAGGATTTGCTCAGCTCAGAGCCTGACCCCAAATATTGATGAACTTGTAGAAAAGTTAAGACACCACCGAGTATCAGCCTCAGCCTCAAAGAAGTGAATATTACTTATAATATACTGTGCAATCACATACTAAGAGTTTTTACTCAGTTCAAGTTTTTTTCTTGAAGAAAGTGTTGTTTTTGGTTTATACATTTTTGCACTTTATTTTATTGTATTTCAATCCAATTATGTTTTAAAAATATTTTATTCGAGTAAATGATCGAAAATTACTGCACTATTATTTGTTTTTCTTTTAAGTAAATTTAGCCCACTTTTGCTAAAAGAGAAAATATGGACTAGTGATAGTGCCTTGAATAATATCGGCTTCTTTCGGCATGGCGAGGGAGGAATCTGGTACTCCAGCAATTCTGCAGCGATTGAGATGTAGGAAAGGAATGTGCTTGGATTCATCCACGCGCACAGATATATAAATATGGATGTTTTTTGTGCATGCTACATTTTCTAGATTTGGCTGTATGCTCCGTTTCAGTATGAAAGCCTTTGCACATGAGTTCACAGGTTTCAACATTTGTATCACACGTGCGTTTACAGGATAAACAATGGCTGCCAAAATCAAAGCCGGGTCTGTGGTGGAGATGCAGGGTGACGAAATGACCCGGGTCATCTGGGAGCTTATTAAGCAGAAGCTCATCTTCCCCTACCTGGAACTTGACTTGCACAGGTAATAACACCAACATCAAATTTTGGAACGTATCACATTCAGAGTTGCCAACCTATAGAAATTCACTTTCTGAGTAATTTATTTTAAGTTTCCTAATTTTAAAATGCAATCAAGAGCATTACAGTGTGACTGCACACTTGAGTGTTTTACTTTACATGTGTTTAATATTATTGTCCCAAACAATAAATCACTCAAAATTATTTCCTCAGCAGTGACATTTCAACATTGCATACACACACACACACACACACACACACACACACACACACACACACACACACACACACACACACACACACACATATATTTTAAAAAATGCTGGACAAAGATTTTAGTGCTACTGGTCATTTTCATGTGAAGACCTTTTCAAGGGGGCGGCACTGTGGTCAACTGGTTAGCACGTCGGCCTCACAATTTAGAGGTGCAGAGTTCGAACCCGGCTTCGGCCTTCCTCTGTGGAGTTCACATGTTTCGCGGCACGGTGGTCGACTGGTTAACGCCCTGGCCTCATAGTACTAAGGTCCAGGGTTCAATTCCAACTCCGGTCTTCCTGTGTGAAGTTTACATGTTTTCCCCGTGCTTGCGTGGGTTTTCCCCGGGTACTCCGGTTTCGCCCACATTCCAAAAACATATATGTCTATATATCAAGCTATGGATAGATATATAGTGAGGGAGAAAGAGAGATAGACACACACGCACACATATTCACAGTATATGGCTTACTTTAAGGGTGTGTAACATTGTCAGACTGGGCTTTGGCTGCCAATTTAGAGCAACTTTTGTCCTGCTGAGTTTGTGTCGCCATTTCCCCTTTGGTGTCATAAAACTCTTTTCTTTAGCCTTTGCTCACACACTTTTGTTCAATTATTACCCAAACTTACTCTTGTCAAAACACATCATTGAGAGGGCTGATTGTTGTTGATACCGATACTGTTTATGTTTTTACTAGCCATATTTAATGATTGCAGGAATTGTCAATAAGGTTGTGAAAAAAAGCTCACAGTGTCACATATGCACATTCCTGGATGACTTTGCAAGCCATCTGACATTGCATGTCTAAAGAATGTTGAGGTGATGTATTCCACTTTCCTTTGCAATCCAATACACAAAGGGAATGTACATGTCAAACCTGATCTTGGGTGCTGAAATTTTCCTTCTCACTGTTATGTTAAATGTCAAATAATCAGCATCACATCACAATGGCTCAGGATGGAGAAAGTAGGGGAAAGGTTGCGGCTGTTTTCAAACAAAACCTGGACGTGCAAGCAAAGCGAGTCGGGTTGCGGGTTAATTCCTTTTGTGCATGCAGTATTTCAAGTCTTGCATGAGGTATAATTAGCAGAGAAATTGGGTGAATTCGATGCCAGTAGAAGCGTAGGCTATTGTGCTCGAATTCCTTTGGCTTTATGTTCTTAACTGTCCTCCTTTTCTAAATCTATCACAGCTATTGTGCTTTTACACAGACAACTAATCACCTGGCTTCTGCCATACTAATTAAAACAGATTGAAATAAAAATTCTGTCCACATTTTCATCCCTTTATTCTAAAAAAAACAAAAAAAAACAAAAAAGAACAAAACCCAAGACATTATTTCAGATTGACAATGCAGAAAATACACAAACATTATGACTCAGTTACTTGTTTGGTCTGTAAAATGCAATGTAAAGAAAAGGGGGAGGGGACACGAAACCGGCTGATCTCTAGTTGGCTACAGGCTGCAATGTATGAGTTGCAGGTGTTTTTTTTATTGTATGTTTTTTTAAGCAGCAATAAAAGGAATTGATCAACATGCCGATAATGTATTTCCATGGCCGATTGATCGAAGCATGGTGGGGCGGGTTCAAAAGTGGTGCTTTTTGCAACTCTATGCGATTTGAGGAACATCGTAAAAACTTTTCAGAAATACAAATAAACCAAATGTCACCATTTTTACACGATCATTCTCATGTCATGTGACTAAAAACGTTTCTCTCGTCACCTGCCCAGTTATGACCTCGGAATGGAGAACCGTGACGCTACGGACGACCGTGTGACGGTGGAGGCAGCTGAGGCGGTGCGGCGCTACAGCGTGGGCATCAAGTGTGCCACCATCACGCCAGATGAGAAGCGGGTGGATGAGTTCAAACTGAAGCAGATGTGGCGCTCGCCCAACGGGACCATTCGGAACATACTGGGTGGTACCGTCTTCAGGGAAGCCATCATCTGCCGCAACATCCCCCGCCTGGTTCCCGGCTGGGTCAAGCCCATCATCATTGGCAGGCACGCCCATGGAGATCAGGTAACTGTCTGTTGGATCGCAACATTGAGTTGGGCTGTCACGACTGATTACATTTTATTGAAAAAGAGTTTTCAAACAGAGTTCCAGAAGCACCCGCAATAAGTGTAAATCCATAATATGGATGAACCGTATATTTTTTTTTAACAGTCTTCCTCCTCCCACACCTTTAGCACTTATTAATAAAGCACATGACCATATTAAAACACACTTTTTAAGGTATTCCCGAGCATCTCTTCTCACTCTCTCACTGTCAAGAAAGGGGAGACTCATATAACAGCACTTTGTGAAAACTGAAAGAAGAAAACAGCCACCTATCAAGTTCTCCAAATAAGAGACTGCTTTCTTCAAACAGATTACGATAAACAAAATGTGTCTGCGAACATTCGCCACTCAGTGAGATATCAGCTTAAAGTGTCCAATTTTTTTAGTATTAAGCTCAATTTATGTATTTTTTGCAAAGGAAAACGAAACTGGCATTCATTTTCAATGATAGCAATAAGTGTTAAAACGGACACAAGATTCCGCCGGTAGATGTCCATATACATCCGCTGTCTCTTCAGATGGATGCCCTTCTCAAAGAGGCCCCTTGCAAAGATTGTCCCTTGCAATTTTTTGTTGAAGGAGTTGTGGGTGGGAGTCATACATAAGACAAATATTTTTTGTCTTTTAAGAATCCAGACATTCAGAACCAGGTATATATTTATTCTTGTAATTTTTTTCTTCACGTGGTAGGGTGAAGGAGGGCCTGAAATTGGCTTGGAGTCAATGAGTAAATTGTTGTTCTTTTTTCAAATATTATTTTTAATGGAATAATTACTTTGTTTCCGGTCTGATTGATTGAACCCTTGTGAGGGTATGCGGATTAGAAAATGGATGGACGGATGATTTATTGACAGAATTAGAAAATACCTCAACAGCCTTGTTTTGCTTGAAAGTTGTTCCCACATTGACTGTGTAGGACTGTGGGGGAAAAAAGAACTCCTCAATTTCACTTATTGCATAACAAGCTGTTTCCTCTCTCTCTCTCTCTCTCTCTCTCTCTCTCTCTCTCTCTCTCTCTCTTCCTCCCTCTCTCTGTCTCTCTCTGTCTTTCTCTCTCGCTCTCTCTCGCTCTCCAATTTGTGGTTACTTCAGACATGGCTCTGTTGTCAGGAGATGTACAGTAAAAAGATTACATTTCATAAGCTGGCCTTTGGACCATCATGTTCTGTTCCGCAGGCCAATGTCAACAGCACTCTAGCCCCGGAGCAACAACTACATCTAGGTGAAGTGTCATGTAGCGGAAAGTTGCGCAATGTCTATGAAAAGCTCTGCTCTGTAACTTTGGGTGGTGGATTTCTAAAGCATTGACAATTCCTTCAACATGTTCCCCACAGTACAAAGCCACCGATTTTGTGGTTCCCGGACCGGGCAAAGTGGAGATGATCTACACGCCTGTAAGCGGAGAGCAGGTCAAGTTCGTCGTCCACAATTTTGAAGGTATGCACTGGGGTTTGACACCACTCATACTTTCTGATAGTGTCAGAGAAAGAACACAAATGAGCCAAGAGTTATGAGTTAGGAATTGATCATTGACATGTTAATAGTTTTATGCAGTAACAGAGGTCAAATTGTTGTTGTTGGTGGTGGGGTTTTTTTTTTCCACTTTTACATTTTAAATGGGAAGTCAAGTCAAAAATGTTCATCACAATAATATATTCTGTGCACAGCCAGGAGTCTGAACACGGCATTTTGATTCATAATGTGCAGAAAAATCAACCTGATTTTATGTGTCTCAGAGGAAGCCATTTTGCCATTTGTTGTCAACTGAAAATGACATCACGGTTTCAAAGGGCTCAGGTGATGACTGTCACGGCAAACCTGTTATGTTCGTTTGGTCATGAGGCATTAGCAACCTGAGTCCTGAGCCAGAGCATGTCTTGCCGAGAACCTCAGTGTTGTCCATGTAGTCGTTCTTTGCAGAGGAAAAAGAAAACAGTATATGACTGAACTGTTGTCTTGTCTGTCTACATGTGTTGCTGCACCATTTGGTTTCAAATATCTGTTGCTTAAAGGGTTATATAACACAGCCACATCACACCAGTCATTGCCCATGTCAGCATTAGCCTTAACATCGCAGATTAAAGGCTCAATCAACTAAGTGGCTGTTTTAAATATGCAACGAGTCGTTTTGTTTTTTCTGTTTCGTTTGGTAATAACATTAACCTGAGTGACAATACAATAAATAGCTTGAAGCCATTTTTTTAAAACCCATTCTGACATTGCTACCATGCAGCGCTTGTCTATCTGTGCTCGCTAGTCAAACCAATAAAACAGCCAAATGACAGCTGGAAAAAAACGTGGAAGTCGGATTGCTCGTACCTTAAGGCAACACTCGATTGTTCTTAATAATATTTGTATGCGTTAATTGATTGTTTTTCACATTTCTAATTTCAACAGTCTACCAGGTATATTAGTCGACAGAAACTGGCAAAATGGCTGCCCCCTGAGATGGCTAAAAATGGGTGGATTGTGCTGCTTAACTCACTCCACAAACGTAATATTCATCGGAATGCCGTGTTTATACTAAGTCGGTGCACATCCAACATATTATTGGAAAGAAAATGTTTGGGTTGACTTCCCTTTTAAATGCTAGGTTTTTGTGATGAAAGCGTGAAAAATTTGACTAAAATAGATCCGGGGCACACTGTCTACACTGTACATATTTGTGTGTAGGCACTGGCGGCGTGGCATTGGGGATGTACAATACGGACAAATCCATCAGGGACTTTGCTCACAGCTCCTTTCAAATGGCTCTGGTGAAATGCTGGCCTCTGTACCTCAGCACCAAGAACACCATTTTGAAGAAGTATGATGGACGATTCAAGGACATTTTCCAGGAGATCTATGAGAAGTATGCGCGCACATTTACACACACACACGCACACACACACTCACACATTTCTCATTCATCGTACTTTGTATACAGTGGAAACTACAAGTCAAACACACAAAATCAAAACCATCATCAGCAAATCTCATCAGACAACAGCGCAGTGAGCATATCAAGCAGCAGTCGGCAACCTGCGGCTCCTGAGCAGCATGTGACTTGGGAAAATAAATGAGTGTCTAATTTCAAATTTGTTTTATTTTACTTCATTTCTTTTTCAAATGCCATTCTTAATTTAACAGCGATGGTGTTTTTGTAAACATTTTTTGTTGCTCAATATATGCGCGGACGCACATAAGCGACACCTGACGCCAAGATTCATTGAGTATTTAGCTGCTGGTAAATAAACCTTGGATAAATCCAATAAGAGAAAAGTTTCTAAAGAAAGCAAAATGTTTTTCGTCTGCTTTTTTTTTTGATGATGCCACCACATAAGCGCAGCATTGATCATAATGAATGTAAAATGAATACAATTTACGATGATGGTGCTGATGGTTTCATTGTTTATATTTTCTCTGGGAAAATGTGTTTTTAAATACACACTCTCACTCCGACTTATCCTTACTCGACAGGGAATACCGTGCTCAGTTTGAGGCCAAAGGTATTTGGTACGAGCACCGTCTGATTGACGACATGGTGGCCCAGGCAATGAAGTCAGATGGAGGCTTCATTTGGGCCTGCAAGAACTACGATGGAGATGTACAATCCGACTCAGTGGCTCAAGGTTGGTACGATTGACCCGTGTTCCATATAACAGCAAAACAAATCTGAAATGCAGCAACATGGCTTTTCAGTATTAAGGTTACAGCTACTACACTAGGGTATGATGACCAGCGTGTTTGCTTCCACAAATACATATGTTAGTATGGAGCATTTTGGGTCACGACTAGGTGGTACTGTGACTAATTGAAAATTTAAAAGGTACTGTAGCTTTCTACCGGGAGACGCATTCATCACACACAGGCTTTACTAAACATTAACCTTGCCATATTTTTGTGTGAATACTGCAACTCATTCACACAAACTGTTTTGTTCCGCAAATTCTCCTCACTTTTTGACATTGTACCCAATCCAAATGTCTCAAACAATTAAAATCATTCAAACTTCCAAATATTGACAAAATATATGTGACTCACATCCCAAAAATCCACACTTACTTTACAATTGCTTTTTTTTCACCACCACCCACAAAAAACATTCGCATGAATGAGACATCCCATCCAAATATGTTCCTCATCATTCACATTCCAACTTCAAATTGTGCAGCTCATTCAGAATATCATGGGAACTCATTTTCACATTCTCAGAATTACATTTTTCATTTCAGTTTTGGGGACTGAACCCTGCCACGAAGAGCGGAAATCCACAAATGATTGATGATTTTCAATGACGATATGATCACGTTACATGACACCGAAACAACGAACCAAACCATCGGTGTCACTCCAAATCACTAAATCCAATGAAATCTTTATCCTCAGTGTCACTTTTAAAGAACTCCCCAAACTCTGGAGGTAAAAGACGCAGTGCTTCCTCTTCTACGTCGATTATGTCAGAGTCATCTTCAGGTTTTTTTTAATTTTTTTATCAGTTACAGCCAAATGGACAGTATCAACACAGGCCTAGAGCGCCCTCTTGCGGTTTAATGTGAAAATAACGTGTGAAATGATATAATCTGTTCATTTCACACGTAAATCGCTCCAGAGTATAAATTGCACCCACGGCCAATATGCGTTTGTTCAAACGATGCCTCCGTAGTTATGGGCTGGAGAAACATGCAGTATCAGCTTTTTCCCACTTTTAGGCTACGGCTCCCTGGGAATGATGACCAGCGTGCTGATCTGTCCTGACGGACGGACCGTGGAGTCGGAGGCGGCGCACGGCACAGTGACGCGCCACTACAGGCAACACCAGCAGGGAAAAGAAACCTCCACAAACCCCATCGGTAGTGAATATTATCGATAAGTCAAATGTGGATGTTCTGTTTGTGCGTGAGAATGATTGCGGCATCCCGCTCCCCGCAGCTTCCATCTTTGCGTGGACGCGGGGCCTCCTCCCTCGAG